GTCAAGGCCCCGCTGTGTGTGTGTGTGTGTTTATATATATATATATATATAGAGAGAGAGAGAGAGAGAGAGAGAGAGGTGTGGGAGAAACACATCAATTGGTTGCCTCCCACACACACCCTGACCGGGGCTGGGCATTGAACCTGCAACCCAGATACATGCCCTTGACCAGGAATCAAAACTGCGATCCTTGGGTGCTTGGGCTGACGCTCTAACCACTGCTCACCGGCCAGAGCCAGAACTCATACTCCTAACCGCCGTGCCCCTCTGTTCCATTCACACATGGTCCCCACACATGTAACGACAGATACGTTATGTGGGAGCACTGCCCACAAAATTAATGAGCAAGTTTCTGAGAGCAGGGGGTGGGTCCAGGGACTCCCAGTTCTTGGCTGTGGACTTGAGAAATTCATTTTCTTTGTTCAGTTGTGGGCTCCACCATTGGATGTGTGGCCTTATGAGAATATTAGGGCATCAGTTGACTTCACTTGGTCTAATTTTCAAAATGAGCATGAGCCTAAGGAAAAGGAAATGCTCTTTAGGGGGATGTCTTCGTCTGCTTGGGCTGCTAGAATGAGTTACCACTGACTGGGTGGCTTACACACCAGACATGTATTTTCTCGCAACTCTGGAGGCTAGAAATGTGAGATCAGGTGTCAGCAGGCTTGGTTTCCTCTGAGGCCTCCCTCCTTGGCTTGTAGATGGCTATCTTCTCCCTGTGTCTTCATCCGGCCTTCCCTCTGTAACTGTGTCTAAATTTCCTCTTCTGATAAGGACACGTCATATTGAATCAGGGCCCACCCTAGTGGCCTCATCTTAACTTAATCACCTCTGTAAAGACCCTCTCTCTAAACACAATCACATTCTCAGGTACTGGGAGTTAGGACTCCAACATGAATTTTTGGTGGACACAACTCAGCCCATAAGAGAGGCTCCGTTATGCCTCATTTAGGTCCGAGCCTTGGGGATCCCCCAATCAGAGAGAGGGACACAGTCCCTGACCTCAGGAATTCTCTGTCCTGATGAGGGGGACATAGGCCCTGCCCTCAGGAAGTCCCCAGTCTAAAGCAGAGGCAGGAAGCATGCACACAGATTCAGGAGGGAAGTGAACGTTGACACAGTTCAGCCTGAGAACGGTCCTTGAGCAGCCCCAGAAGAGAGGCCTTAGCGGGAGAGCAGCCCCAGAAGAGAGGCCTTAGCGGGAGAGGAGTCAGGTGGGAAAGCTTCAGAGAAGTGAGTTGGAAAGGAAAGACTGTGCCAGTTCTGTGGGAGCCAGGGTGTGTGTGTGTGTGTGTGTGTGTGTGTGTGTGTGTGTGTGTGTGTGTGTTGTGTAGGGCCGAGGTCTCTACTACCAACACCAACTGTTGCCACAGGCTGGATGGCCAAGACAGCAGGGACCATCTGGAGCCACGTGGGTCGGGGTGCCGATGGCTTCACACACTGCCACCGTTTGTGAATGTCAGCGGGTTGGGCCCTGGACACGGGGAGGTTGGGTTTCTGCAATCACCACCCTGGCCAGCGACTGCTGCGACTCCGGCAAGCGCCACATGCCTGCCTGTCACAGGATTGTCAGCGCCTGCCCCGGCGCTGAGAGCGGAGTGCTGGCTTCCCCAAACCGGGCTCCACCAAGCTCACTGCTGCCCTACAGGCCCACCTGCTCTCCCAGACCCCGGCTTCCCTCTCAGCCTTGCTCTGTGGCCGCGCCCCCCGGCACAGGCCACCCCGTGTGCACACCTTTCTGACTCTCTTCCAGATACGCCTGCCTTTTAATGAATGCTGCTTTGTTTGAAATAGGCCCCATTATGCTCCCTTTGCCATCCTCAGGTTGGGGCTCTCCCAACGCTGGGGACTTTCAGCTGGGATAAAAGGCTCAGCTATCTCTGGATCTGGAACCCGTCTTGCTCCTTCTATGTACTCACAACACTCAGCCTTTGTTTTACAGTATTTGTCTCCCTCTCTATCTGTTCAGGAATGAAGCGGCCACTGAGCCCCTCTCCCCCTGCTGAGAAGGAGCCCCCCATATCTGGAGCTGCGGAGTGCCCCCCTCAGCCCCCAGAACTGCCTAAGCCCAAGCGTGAGAGGAAACGGCCGTCGTACACGCTCTGTGACGTCTGCAACATCCAGCTGAACTCGGCGGCCCAGGCCCAGGTGCACTGTGAGGGGCGGGCCCACCAGAGGCGGCTGCGGCAGCTCAGCCTGGGGAAGGCCCCCGCAGGGCCAGGTCAGTGCAGGGGGGCACTGTGCCTATACATCTGGCTCTGGGCCCCTCTGAGGGCTGGGTCTGTGGCTTTTCTCTGTGGGGTCTGTGGGGCTGGGGTGCCTTCAATGGGTTCTAGCATCTGAAGTCCCCCAGATGCTGTCAATTTTTTTTTAACCTGGTCAACCCTCTTGGATCTGAGGGTCTTTAGGCTGAAGCCTCCTCTGAGGTTTTTCTGGTCTGGGGGGGGGGCCTCCCTGTGGGGTCTTTTGGGATCAGGACCCCAGGCTGGAGTCCCCTGGCAGGGACAGACTTTCAGACAAAGGCCTCACCTGCAGGGTATCCCGGGATGCTGCTCTGGTCTCTGAAGGGCAGGGTTGGCAAGGTGCATGACACTCCAGCTGAGGGATGGACTAGGGAAGCCCCTCTTCCTTTGGCCACTGGACTCCTGGCCAGGATTTCCGCTTCTCCCCGGCTGGGATGACTTTGCAGAGGTTTGGCTGCAAGCACGAAGGGGCAGCTGGCTGATTTCTGGGGAAAACGGGTGAATGAATTTGTGAGGGTGATTCCGGCTGACAGGCACAGAGGAGCCATGGGGGAAATAAGGAGAGGCAGGCCCAGTGTGGGGAGGTGGGAAGGGTGGGAACTTCTGCCTGCTTCCTGCGGGCAGCCACTGGGAACTTCGCTTGCAGCCCAGGTCGGTAGCTGCCAGAGGGCTACCCTCTGAACTCTCCGCAGGTTGCCTGCTCTTTGGGTGAATACTTGGGCACGCACTGTGTCTCTGTACGGAGCGCCTGGGGCCTGGAGACCAATACGTTCCAGTCTCCCTCCTCAAACCCCCTCCCCCTTCTGGCCAAGACTGAATCTGTCTTTTGGGCGGAGACAGACACCAAACGAGCAGATAAATATTGTGAGTGCTTCGTGGGACGTAGCCCCAGGGATATGACGGGGAAAGTCAGGTATTCCCGGGGCACCAGGAAAGGCCTCCTGGAGGAAGGGGGGCGTGCTGAGCTTGGAACAGGGAGAAGGGGAGAAGGGACATTGGAGGCAGAGGTCACTGCATTAGCAAAGCAGGGAATGGGAATGCTCTGATGGCTGGTGCCAGCTCCTCCACCTGAGTCCTTGGGGACACCAAGGGTGTGAATCTGAGTAAGAGCATATCTGATCGTATGATGTTTCTAGAGCAGCCGTGGGCAAACTACGGCCTGCGGGCCGGATCCGGCCCGTTTGAAATGAATAAAACTAAAAAAAAAAAAAAAAAAAAAGACCGTACCCTTTTATGTAATGATGTTTACTTTGAATTTATATTAGTTCACACAAACACTCCATCCATGCTTTTGTTCCGGCCCTCCGGTCCAGTTTAAGAACCCATTGTGGCCCTCGAGTCAAAAAGTTTGCCCACCCCTGTTCTAGAGTGTGTGTGTGAGTCCAAAAGGCACTCATTAATTCATCAAATACTTACAGACAACCCCCTAGGCCCACGCCATTGCTTGGAGGATTCGTATCCCCGCCCCCCCAGCTTTATTGAGATATTATTGACATATAATGTGTAAGTTTAAGGTGTACAATGTGATGATTAGATACACATATATATTATAAAATATTTACCACAGTAAGTTAGTGAACACCTCCGTCCCCTCAGGTAACTATGATTTTGCACGTGTGTGCTGATAACAGTTAAGATCTACTCTCTTCGCGCCTTTCCATCACATAATGCAGTGTGGTTAATGCAGTCGCCAGCTGGGCATTACATCACAGACCACAGACCTTATTTATCTTATAGCTGGAAGTTTGTACCCTCGGACCAACGTCTCCAACTCCCCAGCCCCTGGCACCTGGCTTTCTACTCTACTTCTATGAGTTTGACTTTTCTAGGTTCTGCAAATAAGTGAGAACATACAGTATTTATTTAGGGATCCACATCTTTAAAAGGCAGCATACCCTCCTGTTAGGACAGTGCTGTTTAGACAACCGCAGGTGCAGACGAGTTTGTCCAAGATAACAACAGGCTTCCGAGGGGTGGGTACCAGCGTCCGGGGAAGCTTCAGGGGAGTGACCTTGATGTTGGATCTTGGAGACAGAAAGGAACCCGAGGTAGGGAGACAGACAGAGCAAATGCACCAAGGCCTGAGGCCCTGGCCTCCCAGGAGCAGAGGCCATGCTGGGCACGCGGCGGGCATGGACATGGCGGGCATGGCTGGAGGTGAGCAGGAGCTGCCTGTGAGGTCCTCCCAGGCAGGCCGGACATTTGGCCTTTGAACTAAAGGTGATGGGTGTCGCTGAAGGGTGTTGAGCAGGAGTGATTAATATTTTTAGAGATCTCTGGCGAAGGGGAAGGGGAAGACTTGGGGGTGCCGGAGAAAGAAGCGAGTGGGATGGAGGAAACAGATTCTGGGGCCTTTTCTGTAGCAGAGCCATTGGGACTTGGTGACTGATGAGATGTGGGGGTCATGGGGGAGGGAGGTCCAAGGATGACTCTAGCTTAGGTGATGCTGTGATAGATAGTTCCATTATCAGAAAGGGGGGTGCTGAGAGAGAAGCAGGTCTGGGGACAGTGTTGGATGGGGAGGGCTCAAGAACACTATTCTAAATCCACATAAGAATTTTATTCACAGAGGCTATCCTAACAGAGTAATCCTTCACTTTGCTCTATTCAACTATCTTAAAATTCCCTGTTGTAAACCTCTACATTGCTTGATTAAGACAATGTTAAAATTTAAAAGAAAAAGAACACTGTCCTGCCCTGCTCCCCTCTAACACAGCCTCTTCAGGCCCTTCTTCTGGGCAGTGGTGCCTAAGCTATAAGCCCTCCCTTTTCCCTGCCCTCAGGTGGGGTGTAAGGATAAAAGACCACAGTGCCAGCCAGTGTAGCTCAGTCATTGAGCGTCGACCTATGAACCAGGAGGTCACGGTTGGATTCCCGGTCAGGGCACATGCCTGGGTTGCGGGCTCGATCCCCAGTGTGGGGCGTGCAGGAGGCCGATGGGGCAGCCTGGGAAGTGGAGAGAGCCACACCTACTTTCACGGAGGCTTGAGGGGCCTTAATGCACTGCTCTGTTCCTAGGCAGTCCTTGTTCCCTGGGAGGGTGAAAAAGGTGTGGGAGTGGGACCTCCAGGCATGCTCCCTGGAGCTGTCACTCTGATTAGGGGTCTGTGGGGCTGGTGGCTTGCAGAGCGACAGGCCGTCACAGGCAGTGAGGCGGGGACCCTCTCCTGCTCATGTCCCTGAGGCTGTCCGTGGGAGGGAGATATTGGGGCGGAGGGACCTCTTCCCTCTCTGAGCTTTCTCAATGCCTGGGTCAGAGGCCTCCTCACTCATCCACACCCAGCTCCCAGCTCAGAGTGAGCCTTCCACACCTGGGAGAGGGCACGGGATGAGGAAACAGCAAGTACCCACATTTCCTCCTCCAGGAACTTCCCCAACTTTCCCAGCCCACCCTCTACCCTCTCTGTCTCCCACACAGCGGGCCCATTGATTCTTCAGGAATGTGTCTGTAGCCATCTTTCAACACGGCAGGTGTGGGCAGGAGGACCCCTGCCCCAATAAGGCTGAATTCAATGACCCTATTCTCTCTCTCTCTCTCTCTCTCTCTCTCTCTCTCTCTCTCTCTCACACACACACACACACACACACACACACAACTTTCAGATGGTTCTTGAACATCTACAGGGAAAAGGTTTGCTGGCTCAACCCTCCCAGTTCCAACCTCTCGTACGGATGTTGGGCCAGCACAGGGCATGGGAGACACCTGGGCAAGCAGCTGTGACCTACCTCCTGCACCAAATGAAGCCTCTGCTTTGGAGCTGAACTGTTTACAAAGCACTTCCACACCCAACATGGCATGCCCCGCTCGCCCAGCCCCCAGGGCAAGGATGATGACACCCAGTCCTCACGTCAGAAATTGGGATCCTGGAGCTCAGAGAGTTTCGGCAGCACACCCGGGTCACACAGCTGGGTCCCATCCCAGGGTTTCCGACTCTGAACCCGATCTCACACACCCACTGCACTTGCTGCAGGGGCTGGGCCTTCATGTTTCAGGAAAGGGGAGGAGCGATGGCCCAGAGAAGGCAGGTCAGCTCCCAGGAGATGTCCTCACGCGCTCAGGCCCCCTGGCCTCTCCTCTTGCTAAGTGCCTTGGTGTCCTCACCTGAAAAGTGGGGAGGTGCCAGCCATGTCCCACTCTGTCTAGGCTGGCTCGGGAGAGAGAGGGGACCCTTCCAAAGCCAATTGGTCCCCCCCGCATCTCTTGGCAGGACCGACCCAGCCATCCAATTCAGGGCCCTCACCCTTGTCCCCCATCACCCGTTGCCATGATACCGGAGGGGAGAGAAGGGGGTTTGGGAAATGATTTAAGCTCTAGCTTACCAAAATGGCCAGCCGGGAGTGCAGGGTAGACATGAAGGGGGCAGGAAAGCAGAGATGGAGTCAAACTATAGTGGATTTCAGGGCGAAGTTGGCTGCACCAGACATCCCTTGCCTTTGGGGGCGGAAGGGGTCAGAGGGGCAGGTGGAGGCTGTCCCTTGCTCTGCGCTCGGACCGCCCCAAGCTCCTGTTCTCATCAGTCCTCCCATCTCCTTTCTGAGTCTTAGACTGCAGAAGCCTCGCTGCATTCTGAGCCCCAGAGATCAAAGACCTTGAGCTGGGTCATGCCTGAGTCACTGGCTTGATGAGCGCCTCACCCCCCACTCCCTGCAGATAGATTAATTTCAGTCCCATCAGGAGGCCCCGGAAGCCCTCCAGCCTGTCCCTCCACCTCTTCAGTCCCTCCCTGCCACCCATCCTGAGGCCTTTAGGTGCATGTTTCAGAGCCACTGTGCTCCCCCAAGGCCACTGAGTTCTTGCAGTCTAGCCATCGCCTCCTGTTACTGTTCTTACGTGGCAGGTGATGGAAGCGCCCCGCTCTGCCTGGATGGCCATCACATCCCCCTCTGCCAAGTGTGAACCTGACCATCAGCACCTCCCCCGGGACCTCCCGGAAAGGCAAAGCCATCTGGGTGGAGAATCAGGGGGCTTAGCTCAGAT